CCCACATCACTCAACAATCAAGAAAATACCTCACAGACATGCCCAAAGGCCAGTCAGATAGAGGAAATTCCCCACTTAAGGTTCCCTCTTCCCAGGTGTGTCAACTTATATACAGCTGACAACTGAAGCTATCCAGCACAAGACAAGTTTCTACCCTTGGTTAGGTTTCTTCCAAGTGGTTTGCTTGGTTTTTAGGCTATTATGTATGGGATTGTTTCCCTGAGTTTTGTTTTGTTTTTTCCAGTTTATTTTTTATTTAATAACCTATAGACTTCAATTTGTACTGTCCATATACTTTTGGATGTGAGAGCCATCTACTGGAGTGTGGTTGATCTATCAGGTTTTTTGTATTAATGTGCATGAAAGCGTTTGACTTTTGTGTGTTAATTTTGTATCCTGCTGCTTTGTTGAAAGTGTTCATCAGATGTAAGAATTTTCTGTTGGAGTCTTTAGGGTCTTGTGTATAGAATCATCCTCTGCAAATAGAGATAATGTAACTTCTTCCTTTCCTATTTGTACCTTAGTTGCTAAGACTTCCAGTTCTGTATCAAATAAGAGTAAAATGGAGACCCTTCTCTTGTTACTGATTTTAGTGGAACCATTTTTTGAGTTTTTCTCCATTTATTATAATGCTGGCTATAGTTTGTCATTTATAGCTTTTATTATATTGAGATATGATTCTTCTAGTCCCAGTTTCTTCAGGACTTTTAATGTGAAGGGATGTCAGATTTTTGTCAGAAGCTTTTTTTGTATCTATGGAAATTACCCACAGGATCTCTCTTCTGTCCTTGAATCCATTCATGTAATTTAAATTTTTTATTTATGTATATTGAACCCTTCCTGCATTTCTCAAATGAGCTCAACTTTGTCATGACAAATAATCTTTCTGATGTGTTCTTGGATTTTCAGTTCAGTTTGTAGATATTTTGTTGAGAACTTTTGCATTTTATCAGCTAAATTGGCCTGTAATTGTTTGTTGTTGTTGTTGCATCTTTATCTGCTTTTGTTATTCATAAACAGACTTTGGTGATTTTCCTTCCTTTTCTGTGTTATAGAATAGCTTGAGAAACATTGATGTCAATTATTTTTGAAAGTTTGATAAAATTGACCAGTGAATCCATCTGGGCCTGGACTTTTTTAGTTGTAAGATTATTGATTACTGATTTAATCTCACTACTTATTATAGATCTGTTTAAATTATCTCATCTTGGTTTAATTTTGGTAGTCCTGCATTGAGAAATTTATCCTTTTTTATAAGATTTTCTAATTTATATGGAATATATGTTTTCAAGGTACAACTTACAGATTGTCTGAGTTTTGTTGGTATCTGTTATAATGGCTCCCTTTTCATCTGATTTTATTAATTTGGGTTTTCTTAGTTTGGCTAAGGATTTTGGTCTTGTTTATCTTTTCAGAGAGCCAACTCTTTGTTTCACCGATTCTTTATTCTTGAGAATATTGGTATACACAATGAAATACCCATCACCATTTCTCTTCTCTAGCTCCTCCCATGTCCCTCCTAACCTACCCCTTCCAAACTTCTTGTCTTTGTTTTTTCCTTTGATAACTCAGTAAGTTCAGTAGTGCTGCCCTCATGTACATGGGTGTGGGGCCATCTGCTGGATCATAGGAAACCTACCAGTGGTCACATCCTCAATAAACAATGCCCCCCCCCAAAGGAGCTATGCACTGTCAATAGCTAGTCAGTATGGATTGGGGCTTGGAGATCATCTACCCCATCTATGCCAGGATTTTGGCTGGCTTGATCTTGTGCAGATAACCACAGATACAGGGAGATTATGGTTGTGATAGCCATGTCATGTGTCACAGAAGACCACATTTCGTGGAATTCTTCTCCATCCTCTAGCTCTTACATTCTTTCTGTTCCTTTTCAGTGTTCTCTAAGCATCCAAATTCTTCCTCCTTTTTACTTGTTTTAAACTTTTTATTTATTATTTTTATTTTATGTGTATGAGTGTATTGTTTGCATGTAGGTAGGTGAACCCATGTCGTGCAGTACCCACAGAGGTCAGAAGAAGGTGTCAGATCTCCTGAAACTGGAGTTACAGACAGTTGTTAGCTACTGTGTGGATACTTGGAATTGAACCTGGGTCCTCTGCGAGAGCAAACAGTGTTTTTAATTGTTGAGCCATCTCACCAGCCCCTGCCTTTCTTTCTCCTTTATATTCAGTCAGGAACCACAGCCCATATAATAGTGCCACTTACATTTAGAGTGGGTTTTCCCACCTCAGTTAACCTAGCTCGTTCTGTCAGGTTGCTCAGAGATATGCCTGTGGGTTTGTTTCCATAGTGATTCTAAATCCTGTCAGGTTGACAGTCAAGATTCACCATCACAACTCAGGAAATTGATGTATTTCAGTAAGGTTAATTTTTCACATACTTCCTTAAAAAAAAAAAACAACAGCTTTTTTTTTTCATGTAGGATTCTGTCATCAGTCGTTTTTCCATCATTATTACAAATACCTGGGATAACCAACTTTTTACAAGTTGTATTTTGGCTCACAGTTTTGAAAGTTCCAATCCTTGATCAGTTGACACTATTTCCATGAACATATGTTGAGGCAGCATATCACGCTAGGAACATGTGACAGGAAATGAGAAAGAAGGACCCCACAGTCCCCTTTGAGATCCTGTCCCTAAAAACTTTATAGCTTGTCACCCTGGGCAACAAGCCTTTAGTACTTGGGCTGCAAGCTTTAGCATTTATTTCCCTGGTATCTCCTCCCGATCAGTGTTTGTTATAAGGAAGGCTCCAAAATCATTCTGCTACTTACCTCTTGAAGTACTTGTGTGAACATAGGTGAAAATAAAACATTTCCCCTTAATAATTTGCCCAGATCATACTAAAATTTAATTTTGTTTTGTCTAAATTTTTTTTGTGAAATTTTTCAAGCAGCAGAGGAGACAGTTCCTTTTCCTAAAACTTATTATTTATGTGCATTTGTCTTTGTCTGTGTATGTTTGCCACATGTGTGCAGGTGCCCACAGAGGGCAGAGAGGGCATCAGATCCCCTGGAACTGGTTAGAGTTGCTGGTGTTTGGTTGTGAGCTGCCTGATGTTGGTGCTGGGAATCAAACTCAGGTCCTCTGAGAGAGCAGCAAGGGCTCTTAACTGAGCCAGTATTTAAAAGTTTCATTTTTAAAAGCAGATCTGTGTTGCTTTCTTCAAACAGGCCTACCATTTGGAAAGTGATCATTTGTGAGTGGTCCTTAAAAGTTACCCAGTTATGTAGGGCAGTAGAAGTGGAAATAAGAGTTTCTTAAGCCACCATTCAGAAAGTCAGGTTTTCTTTTCCTCAGACAGGCTGCAGCACCTCTCCTTTCTGTTCTGTCCTTGATTCATCCCCAGACGTGTGTGCAGCATCACATATTCTATCGACTAGGTTTATTTCAAAACTAATGTACTATAATGAATAAAGGTCTTCATAGCAGAGCAAATTACAGGGATATAGATGGTCTAGCTAGTTATTAATCAAACTTTTAATTGGCTGTAGTACTAGGTCAGCAGTCGGTGACACATGTGCATGCACACACACACACACACACACACACACACACACACAGACTGATAAAATAAATTTAAATTTTAAGGGGCCAGAGAGATGGTTCATTGGGCAAAAGGTGCTTGCTGCCAAGGCTGACAACCCAAGTTTTATCCCATGGTGGAAGGAGAGAACCAACTTCCACAGATTGTCCTCTGACCTCCATACGCATGCCATATGTGTATCATACACACATAAATGTAAAAACATTTAATATTTTTATTTACTCTTTGAAATTTCAGACATTTCTACCTTGTATCTTGATTATATCTGCTCCAACTGAATTTTTTAAAATATTTTATTATAGTTTATTTTATGTGTATGAGTGTATTGCCTGCATGTTTTTGAGTGCACCCATGTCATGCAGTGCTGCAGAGGTCAGAAGAGGGCTTCGGATTCCCCTGGAAATGGAGTTAAGGATGGTTCATAGCCGCCATGTGGGTGCTGGGAACCAAACCCAGGTCCTCTGTAAGAACAGTCAGTGCTCTTAACCACTGAGCCATCTCTCCAGCCCCCAACTGAAAATTTTTTAAGAAAATAACTTTTTAAAATTTGGGCAGTAATTATGTACTACATGCAAGCACACACGTGCATTTTTATGTCTTACAGTTTATTTGAGCTACACATACTATGACTAAAATGTTTAATGTAAAAAAAGGTTATATCTCAGCCGGGCGTGGTAGCGCATGCCTTTAATCCCAGCATTTGGGAAGCAGAGGCAGGTGGAACATTGTGAGTTCGAGGCCAGCCTGACCTACGTAGTGAGTTTCAGGACAGCTGGGGCTGCAGGGAGACCCTGTCTCAAAAAGACCAAAAAAAAAAAAAAAAGTTATATCTCTTGTCTACGCTAATTCAAGGGCTCTAACCCTGTTTTATGTATTAGTGTAGGAGAGACTAGCATCAAATCCTGGCTCACGTTTTCAAGTTTCTTTTTTCAAACTAATTTAAATATTTTTTTAGTATGTAACAAGTTACAGATAGATAGATAGATTTGACTGATTGACAGTATCACTTTCATAAATGCTGTTGTTTACTTTATTACACGAAGTCCCTAGCTTCTTGTGGTATTCTAAGAGTTTTCGTCAAGTTACACAGAAATTGCAAATGAGTCTAAACATAACTTCTATGTTACTTATGGATAAATACCAAATATTACCTCTACACTTTAGCTTAAGTGTTTTTAAGTGAGCTAATCACTGTTATTGGAAATATACAATATTTGAATCTGTCTACCGCCCAGTAATGTTTTCCTCACTCTGGCATGTAAAGTATTTCTAGAAAGATGTAAAAAATCTATTTTGGAAGGTTCTTGAAGTTATAATAATAGAGATTGACTGCCAATACTGTTTAACCATGTCTTTGTTTTAACATACTATATGCAAATGCAGAGTCTGCATTAAGTTTTTAAAATATTTGCTGTCTCATTTTCTTTTTCAGAAAATGAATAATCTTTCATTTAGTGAACTATGCTGCCTCTTCTGCTGTCCACCTTGCCCAGGGAAAATTGCTTCAAAATTAGCATTTTTGCCACCTGATCCAACTTATACACTAATGTGTGACGAAAGTGGAAGCCGCTGGACATTACACCTGTCAGAACGTGCAGACTGGCAGTACTCATCTAGAGAAAAGGATGCTATTGAGTGTTTCATGACTAGAACCAGTAAAGGCAACAGAATCGCATGTATGTTTGTGCGTTGTTCACCCAATGCCAAATATACCTTGCTCTTCTCACATGGAAATGCTGTCGATCTTGGTCAAATGAGCAGCTTTTACATAGGTCTGGGATCACGGATTAATTGTAATATATTCTCATATGATTACTCTGGATATGGTGCAAGTTCTGGGAAGCCAACAGAGAAGAATCTCTATGCAGATATTGAAGCTGCTTGGCTGGCTCTTAGGACAAGGTAAATTGTTACTGGGAATTATACTGTATAAGGACAGAATAAAAAGTATTACTAATATACATGCTTTGAACTACAATATATAAAGACATTTAACAATATATTTACTTAACAATAGTTAAATTTTTAGACTGAAATTTTGTTTAATAACCAAAAGAATCTTTGAAAACGGCTCAGGTTTGTATGTCTTTGTTAATGCCTGTGTATATTTTTTTCTTTAAATTCAAATCTTTAGTTCAGTGTCACATAGTCCATTAAGAATAGATGGAACCTCATTTCTGGTTGTATCACAAATGTTTGAGTATGATAGACTGAAGAAACAATGGGGAGCTATGTCTCTACCTGGATAGTTCAGATGGTCTTGAGTACCTGGAAGAGAACATATGAAGAGTTTGCCTCGCTCCTCTCTAGTGAAGGTCCAAATTCTCAGAATGTTCTCTTATATTTTCAAAAGACTAGACGGTGCTGCTCAGATCACTCATTAGCTGTCAGAAATGACTGCTTTCTGCCTTGTAAGTGGAAAAGCATGCTGAAGGTCACTTTGCCCCCTACATTGGTACATTTAGACTGCAAAGAAGTGACAGCTGCTGAATCAGGTACCCAGTAAACATTTATAGAGTCAGTGAGTTCATATATTTAAATTGGTAGCAGTGTTAAAGGGGATAAAGCAATACTCTTCAGATTTTTAACATGAAGCCTATTCCTACTTAACCATACTGTGCTTGGAACTCTAGGTCATCTCACTGTATTTGCAATTATTAATACATTTCTATAAGTAAGCATAGGCAGATTTCAAGAAAAATGGAATTTGATCTTGACTAAAAGTATTGCTTACTATATTCATTCCATACCATAGCTATATGCAAAATCTCATCAGATATTATCAATTTAGAAAATCAAATGTGCTACTCTTGAGAAGTCAAGAACATTTGCTCTGCTGGATGGAAAATAATACCATACTAAATACTACTAAACAGCAGCCATAATAATGCATTCCAAACTCAGTAAACAGTATGCTAGGTTGAATTTACTGAAATATAAATTTCTTTCCTAAAATTGAAATATTAAAAGTTTTGCAGTAATTTTTCTAAAAGATTAGAATTAAGCATGAAATAAGTGAGCGTATAGAGCTTATTGTAATACTAAAAATTATAATGGTGCCAGGTGCGGTGGTGCACACCTTTAAACCCAGTACTTGGGAGGCAGAAGGCAGGTGAATCTCTGTGAGATCGAGGTCAGCCTAAAAAGCAAAAAAGATGATGGCTAAGAAAGAATTTTAAATTGTAAGTATAAACTAGTTGGCACTGTCTTGTGAGTCATTCCACAGTAGATCATTGGGATGATGGAATATTTCCTTCCACTCCATCTTTGTTTTTTAAACTTCTGAATTTTTTAGATACGGCATTCGTCCTGAAAATGTGATTATATATGGCCAAAGTATAGGGACAGTACCGTCTGTGGATCTTGCTGCTCGTTACGAGAGTGCTGCTGTTATTCTTCATTCTCCATTGACCTCGGGGATGCGTGTTGCTTTTCCTGATACCAAGAAGACCTACTGTTTCGATGCATTCCCAAAGTAAGTTCATTATTCCAAATAATTCAATTCCAAGAAACTTAATTTTAAGGGAATTTTTTTCTGTCAGTTAAGGTATTAATGACAATGGTTCTCTCAGTCATGAACTTCTGTGTGTATTTGATCACATAGAAATTGTGCAAAACTTGAAGAGGGTGTTAGCACATGACCCATAAAAAGACTGAAATGTTTGAGCATAAAAAGAGGGCCTTAGACCCTAAGCAATGGCACTAGCATTGGAGACAAAAGAACACATTTGTGAAATAAAATTGATAGAACAGGGTAAGAGATTATTAGATGTGGTGTTTTAAGTAGAACAACTTGAATAAGAGCCCCATTCAGTGAGATACACAGCACAAAAGAGGAAAAATATGTGGAGGAAAAACGAATGATAATCCAGCCAGTTTTATGTAACTTACAAAAAAAATAAGCAATGAAAAATGTTGACTCTTACATAACTAGAGTAGATTTTGAAAGCATCATGTAGTATTGGATGAATTTGAAAAAAAGGAAGTTACTTCATGATTTTCAAGGCAGAAAGTAGTTGATACTTGGGCTCTCTTTGTAGTTGGGAAAAATTGGCCTATTTTTTTCAAGGATGGGGAGAAGGCAAGAAGGAAGAGACTAGCAGTTTTCAGTCTTTTCCTCTGTTGGCAAGATTACAAAGGATATTTTTGTGAATGACAGATCAAAATCCAAATTATCACTTGGTTCTTTAGCAGAACAAAAGTTTTTTTCAAAAGCAGTATGTATTCAATATTGGGTTAGACAGATGATGGCTCACTTGGTTAAGTGATTGGTTGCCTTGCAAACTTGAGGACTTGAGATCATCCCCAGAACTTATGTAAAAAAGGTGGGTGTGGTGGCACATACTTTTAAATACTTGTAATATAAGGGGGTGGGGGTACAGAGACAGGCAGATCCTGGAGTTTGCTGGCTACCTAACCCAGTGTACTCATCTGGTAGACCAGGTGAACTTCCAAGCTAATGAGAGACCCAGTCTCAAAAATCAAAGTAAATAGCTCCTGAGGAAAGATACCTGAGGTTGACCTCTAACCTATACTCAGACCCAAAGAGGGTGGGTCACCTTGTCAGGAAGTTTGGGAGAACATGTGGTCTTCTCACTAGGCCCACAATGGTGGAAGAATTTGGGAATTTTTTTGTTTTTGAGACAAAAATCTCACTATGTATCACTGGCTGATCTGAAACTCACTATTGTATACCAGGCTGACTTCAAACTCTCCCCACAATCCACGTGTGCCACCATACCTGGTGGGGTTTTGTTTTCTGTTTTGTTTTGGGTTTTTTGTTTTTTTTTTGTGAAAGGATTTTATTTTTTGTCGTTCATTTGTTTCAGCTTGGCTTTTGTTGTTTTTCTTGCAGTGTTAAGAGATTGAACCAGAGTCTCATGCTAAGCAAGCATTCTCTCACTATGTGGGTTTTTGTTTGTTTGTGATTTATTTTGTTTTAAATAGTGCAAGTTGTGTGCATTACACCATTTCTGTTGAGCTGAATGATGGGAATGACAGTCAATTAGCTGACCAAAAGAAAGAACGTGTTTGGGGCTAGAGAGATGGCTCAGAGGTTAAGAGCACTAACTGCTCTTCCAGAGGACCTAGGTTCAATTCCCAGCACCCACATGGTGCTAGCAGCCATCCCCAGTTGGTGGCACTGTCTCAGGAGGTTTTAGGAAGTGTAGCCTTGCTGGAGGAAGCAAGTCATGGGCAGGGCTGGAGAGATGGCTCAACGCTGGCTGCTCTTGCAGAGGACCTGGGTTCAGTTACTAGCACCCACATGGTAGCAAACAACCCTCCCTAACTCCAGCTCCAGATGATCTGACACCTTCTTCTGGCCTCCATGGGCATTGTATAACATGAGTGCACTTAATATACATGCAGGCAATACATTCATACACATAAAATAAAAATAATAAATAAAATATGAAAAAAGAAAGACTATTACCCAGAAATAAGTTAGCTTTAAGAAGATAGTTTTTGGTTTTGTCTTGTTTTTTGGTTTTTGTTTTTTGAGACAGGGTCTCTGTGTAGACCAGGTTGGCCTGGATCTCACAGAAATCCACCTGCCTCTGCCTTCTGAGTGATGGAATTAAAGTGGTGATCCACCATGCCCAGCTCAAAATGATACTTTTTAAGTCTTTAATTCCTCTACACTAAATGTCTCTGCATTGTTTATTATGAAATAGAGCCTTGAACTATTTCACTGATTAATTTCTTCTTTTGTAACAGTTCATCTTATTTATGGTTAAAATGTTTTCTTTGTCTGGAGAAAAAAAAAGCAAAAAAATGTTGTAAGGTTTCTTCTCTGCATAGTTTCTCTTCCAAGTTGTCTTTTAAAAATTCTGTTTGTTTTGAATCTCAAATTTGAAGTATTCTCATCAGATATCTGATTATCCTTGGCTGTCTGCTCTTACATACGTAAAAGTGGAGAACCAAAGGGCTGCTTTGATGCAATCTCCAAAGAAAACTTTCTGAAACTCTCCCTTGGATGATGAAGCCTGTGGCCAGCATTCTCAGGAGCCCATCAGGCCTGCTAGCGTCTAGTGTTTGTGTGTTGTGTGACTCTCTGGTACCTCTACCCTAAACTAAGAGTCCTAAATCTACAGACTCTCCAGAGTTGAAGGAAGAAAATTTTTCAGCTTCTCCCAAGGAAGCTGAGAAAGAGGGACCTTATTTATTGTACAGACTTTGAACTGCTCCTTTGTATTTCAGTTACCTTATATTCATGGCATGCCCTAGCTTCTAGGGTATTCTGTTATAAATTGTTTCGCATCTTCACTTTGCTGTCTATCTGCTTTAGATTTTGTTTTCAGCTGTCTTTTAATCTGTTATCTCATACATCCATTTGCTTTCCAGGTTCAGAATTTTGTTGTATTAGTACTCCCTGTTTTTATGAGTTTATACCCTTAAACCAGAACAAAAACCAAACGTGTTGCTATCATTTGAGTAAGTGATAGAATATAGTAAATGCAGTGCGTAGTGAAATTAGCACACACTTGACATGGGTCTTACCTTGTGCTTCTTGAAACCTTAAAGGGGGGTTTTGGTTCTGAAAAGTCAGCATTGTAGAAGGGTGCTAAGGGTTATAGTAGCGTTGAGTGACTCACCCAAAACCTATGCATGAAGGTAACTTCCTTCAATGCAGGTAAGAGCACATGTAAAAGGTGGCCTTTGAATCTTAAATCTTAAGTGGCTTCTATCCTATCTATGCTAATTTGTACATTCTGATGTTTGAATTTTCTGTTGTAACACAGAAAAGTATTTCCTTTTTAGTTTATTGTGCTTTTTTTCTTTTCTCATTTTCTCTACAGTATTGATAAAATCTCTAAGATAACCTCTCCAGTATTAATAATTCATGGGACTGAGGATGAAGTCATTGACTTTTCACATGGCCTTGCGTTGTTTGAGCGTTGCCAGAGACCTGTGGAGCCTCTGTGGGTTGAAGGAGCAGGACACAATGATGTGGAACTTTATGGACAATACCTTGAAAGATTAAAACAGTTTGTGTCACAGGAACTGGTAAATTTGTAAAATACTCTGTAAATTTACTTACTGGGTTTTCTTTTCTTGCTGAACTGCATTCTTTGGTAAATAACATAAAACCTGAAGGTTTTGTTTGCAAATCATGTAAGTTGCCTTCCTAAATGTACAGGTAATGATTTGTTAACAGACTTAATGAAGGTTTTAATTACCAGAACAAGAAACTGGAAATAACAATATCATGCAGTCAGGCTGTGTAATTTATATTTTTTCTGTGAATTTTTTTTAAACATCAAGATGAGTACTGTATGAAATTTTAATTCTATAAAATCAGATGCTGTAAAAGTATTGCCAAATGCTTTTGCATATCAATTAAATTTATAAATATTTTTAAAACATCTCAATGTACTAAATATCCTGGTATATAAATGTAATATTCTTTCAAAAAGCTGTATATCTAAAGCAGTTCAAGTACTCAGAGTAAACTGTAAAAAATAAAAATAAAAAACAACAAAAACCACTCAAGTTGACTAGAGTTGACCTAAACCCTGTTGTACAGGGATAGAGGCTTTAATGGTTATTTTATTGTAAAATACATTGACTTTTCTGTATTCTCTGGTTATAATACACTTATCCTAAAAAAATGAAGTCTTACTTTTTATGCCATCTGTTTGTTTACCATCTGGTCACCTTGTAAATGAGAAGTCCCGATGGCACTGGATTTTAACTAGTTTTGATTTATGTTTGGTACTGTGAGACAACTACTTAACATTGACATTCAGTTATTTAAAAGGCTATATTTAGGGCTTCAGGAAAGATTTTTGTATGCAATGTTGTTTTAAATTTTGACTAATCTCATAGAATTGTAGTAGTCTTCCTTATATGAATACTTGAAAGTCTGTTAGTTATTTTTCAAGATCAAGGACAGACTGGCTGTTTGCTCCCTTTTCACTCTGGCTGTTTTTAAGTGTAGGGCCTATTCTTTTGGATTACTCTCTGAAAATTTCATGAATTCACTCCAGAATAGAGGAAATAAGAAAACATGTAATTAAGTTTTATATTAACCAGTATAGTAAAAACTAAAGCTCACACACAAAAACTAAGTTGCCTTTCCTTGAATGAAACCTGCCTGAATTAAACAATGAAAGAAAATAAAACTAACAGTATGTAGTCTAATTTCTAATGAATGAAAATTGAAATAATACACACTGTGGATGTTTTTTAAGGCCTTATGTAGTTTTAATTGTTCTGCTTGTTCTGTGGTTATGTCTAAGACTATAGTATATGATTCTCTTCAAAGTATATCAAGTATTGTGAATGCTTTGGTTCTGATGTGTCAAATTAACAGTAAAACAACAAATACATC